CATCCATTTTGATCTCCTTTTCTACAAATCATATGCAGAATATTCAACTGCATAGTATGAATACGGAACGATTCACCAATAGATTTGAATTCCACCGAAAATTCCACGAAAACTTCCTCAAGACGATTCAAATTCCCAATGATTTTCACAAAAATCTTTAGCTCTTCATGTTGATTGCTGTGATCGCATGTCTTTTCGGTGACTATTGGTATACACAACCTCTGCCAGCAACAGCCTTCGTTTGTGCGGTGTTCGCTTTGGGCACTTTACTCGTATCGTTTTGCTTGATCTTCATTTCTTCCGAGAGAGGTGGCTCTGCATCGTCCGGCAACACAGTGCTAATAGTGGTTGGATTTGCTGTTCTAGATTCTCGGATGATTTTTTTGTAAAGCTCTTCTCGTTAAGAATGTTTCACTGAAGCGTAACTAATGATTTATGCAATACGAAGACATCTATCCTATTGACATGTTCGATGATTTAAGCGATCGAGATATGTTCATTTCGAGTGGTTGTATCAGTGAAATCGCACGCATAAGCAGTTCTTTTTCGAATGAATATCATCGCAATTGAATCATAACCACTGTCATTATCAATTGACACTATTGATACTTTATCTTTCATGAATTCATAATTCAAACTTGCTGAATTCACCTTTCTGAATAGACTTTGATTCGTGATGAGCATACGTATATGTATAGAATTCACAAACTGAATATTTCTTGAAAGAGTCTGATTCAGCGTGCCGCAGTGATGAGTGTAGTGCTGTTGCTAGCGATAATATCCGGAATTTTGTTCGCGATCGGAGTGGAAGTGTGCTTGCGAGAGGCATACGGAACGTGCTATTTGTTCTATTACTCGAAACCGTTCGTCGTCGCATCGGTTTCGTTTATTCCATTCACATTCAATAGAATACCTCCTCAGAGTTTCTGATTTTACATTTGTCTTTACGATTGATCTTTTTTTCGTTTGATCAATTGGAAGCTGAATGGAAACCGCATTGAAAGTTTGAAATTGCAATACGATATCCAAAAATTTCTTTCAAAATCGATGACCACCGATGAAATAACGATGAATATTTATAAATCTTTCGAAAAATTTTTCTCTGCTCCAAATTCTT